CAATTAAACTCTGCTCTGAAGGATTGCTGTGAGTTGGGATAAAATCAGCAGTGGGTTTGGTTTGAGGATTGATATGGCTGATGGGAATATAAAATGGTACAGCCATTTTGGACAATTATGTGACAGCTTCTTATAAATGTATACACTACCACGTTGTTGTTAAATGCCCTCAAGTCGGCTCCAACTATAGCGACCCTGTGTACAATCGAGCTAAACACAGCTTGGTCATGCCCCATCCTCACAATTGTTGTCTTTGAGCCCATTGTTACAGGCACTATGTCAATCGCCCTCCTCGGAGAGTCTTCCTCCTTCTAACAGACCCTTGACCAACCACAATCTCTCCTGATCGCATCTCCAAAATATAAGAGATTGCTACCTTGGCTTCTAAGGAGCATTGTGCTTGTGCTTCTTCCAAGACAGATCTCTCAGTTCTCCTGGCAGTCTATGGTACCTTCAATGTTCTTCATCAACACCATTAGCTCAACAGCATTCCTTCTTCTTCAGTTTTGCTTCTTCATTGTTTACGTTTCCAGGCAGATGAGGTGATTGAAAAGAACATGCCTTGGGTCAGGCCCACCTTAGTTCTCAAAGTGCCAGCCTTCCTCTTCAACACTTCACCGATGTCTTGGGCTGCAGATTTGCCCAGTGCAGTGCCTTGTTTGTTTTCTTAGCTGCTGCTTCCATGAGCATTCATTGTGGGTCTAAGCAAGATGAAATCCTTGACAACTTCCATCTTTACTTCACGTGATGTTGTTTATTAATCCATTTGTAAGGATTTTTTATTGTCTTTATATTTAGTTTCAATTCCTATTGAAGGCTGCCGGCTTTGATTTTCATCAGCAAGTACTTCAAGTTCTTGCTTTCAGCAAGCATGGTTCATCTGTATATTACAAGTTATTAACAAGCCATCCTCCAATCCTGATGCCACACTCTTCTTCCCATAGTCCTGCTTCTTGGATTATCTGCTCAGCATATAGCATGAATACGTATGGGGAAAGGATACAACCCCGATGCACACCTTTTTAACCACACAATGTCCCCTTGTTCTCTTCCAAAAACTACCTCTTGGCCCACATTCAGGTTCCACATGAGCACAATTAAGTGCTCCGGAATTCCCGTTCTTTTTTGTTGTTGTTCTGTTCTGCTTTCTTATTTTTTAAAACAGTTTTATTGACACAAAATTCACATATTGTACAATTCAAAAGCTGAATCACATCCAAAAGAGTTGTACAACTATGGGCCACAATCCGTTTTAGAATATTTTCTTCTTTCTTGCACTCATTGTTATTAGTTCTACCCTGCCCCACCCCTAAGAAACTATGAATCCAGTTACTCTCTCTATAGATTTACCTATCCTGGATTTCATATACAGAAAAAAAATTTGAAAAAAACTAACAATAACAAATTAAAACAGATAAAAGCCCTAATATAAAAGAAAGCAGAAAATATTACAAATTAGGACATATTTAAAATGGATCAAGATGGAGATCAAATGATAGTCTGCTAAATTTTAATCTAACTGCATTGCAATAATCCACTTTTCAATTGGAATTCCCATTCTCCCCAATGTTCTCCATCATTTGTTATGATCTATACAACTGAATGCCTTTGCACAGTGATGAAAACACAAGAAAACTCTCTTGGTATTCTCTGATTTCTGTCAAGATTCGTTTGATGCCTGCAATCATATACCACATGCCACATCTTCTGGATCCTGTTTGAATTTCTGGCAGCTCCATATCAATGTACTGCTGCATCCTTTTCTGAATTATCTTTAGAAAGATTTTACTTGCATGTAATTTTAATGATATTATTAACTTCAGCCTTTTGTTGGATTTCCGTTCTTTGAAGTGGGCACAAATATATGTCTCTTCTAGTCAGTCGACCAAATAGCTGTTCTTCCAAAATTTTACCATAGACTCGCAGGTGCTTCCAGCGCTTCATTAGCTTGTTGAAACGTTCTAGTTGGCAGTTTGTCAATTCCTGGAGCCTTGTTTTTGGCTCATGCCATCAGTACAGCTTGGACGAATTCCTTCAGTATCACTGGTTTCTTGAACATACACTACCTCTTAAAATGGTTGAACATGGACTAAATCGTTCAAGTATAATGACGTTGTGTATTTCTTCCATCTTCATTTGATGCTCTCTGCATCCAATATTTTCCCATGAGCTCCTTCAATATTGCAGCTCAAGATTGGAGGGTTTTCTTCCACTCTTTCCTCTTTCGATCTGCTGAGTGAGTGCTTCCTTTTGGGCTTTTAACTCCAGGTCTTTGCACATTTCATCATAATACTCTTGTCTTCTCGAGTTGACATTTCCTGCTCAGAACTTTGCTTCATCATTTCTTCCATCTGCTGTAGCTACGCTACATTCAAGAGCAAGTTTCAAAGTCTCTTCTGACATTCACTTTGGCATTTTCTTTCTTTCCTGTCTTTTAAATGACCTTTTGCTTTCTTCCTGTATGATGCTCTTGATGTCCTCCCATAATCCATCTGGTCTTCTGTCACAAGTACTCAATGCATGAAGTCTACTCTTGAGATATGCTCTACATTCAGGTGGGATATAGTCACTTTTTGAGCTTTCATTGACTTGTTTTGCTTGTCTTCAGCTTCAACCTGAATTTGCATATGAGCAAATGATGGTCTGTTGTTGAGATAGTTCAGTTGTCAGTTTGCAGGAGTCTCCTCACTTATGTGGTTTCAGGGTCTGACAAACCCAAATAAGCATCAGACAACAGGCTGCTGACTCACAAAGCTGATGAATCAGATCAGGTGGCAGGCCTCTGGCTTAATTCAGATAGAGATGCAGAACCAGCAGAAAGAAGCAGACTTTGCCAAAATGTTACCTTGGTCTGCCAGGTCTGGCAGGACCAGGGCTGTGTGTGTGTGTG